ACTGAGCCACCCAGGCGCCCAAATTATAAGATTTTATTCCCAGTAGAATAAGAAGAATTTAGGTGATTTCTGTGATGGAAACCATTGCTTAAATTTATTCAGACCTTTTCTTTAAATTTTTTTTTAACATGAAAACTTCAAAAAGGCCAAAAAAAAACCCTTAGAAAATGTTAAATAAGTATCTACATGCTATGGGCTGTTTCTGTATGGGGTGATGAAATGCTGAAGTGCTTTTCATCAGCTGGGAGAACTCTGGGATGTTCTCACAGCGTCAGAGTAGCAGTCTCAAAGTACTGCCTGTAGCACTTAAAGCCCTGCTCAGATTACCTGTGCTTTACCTAGCTTTGCCACTTACTAGCTTTTAGGACCCAAGGCAAGTTAGTTAATTTCCTTGTGTTTTCGTTTCCTCATTTGTAAAATGGTAATAGTGTCCCATAGGATTTATTGTGAGGAACTTGGCATACTTCTTTGGACCTGATAAACTCTAGGTAAATGTTAGCTACTCTCAATAAATAATCAGTTACCACTGCTGCAGCCACAGCATTAGGATTGTGTGCTTACTTTTACTTGCATTTGTCTCCCACTAGAGGACTTCAGCAAGTCTTAGCACATTTTATATGCCAGGACCTAGAGCATCTACCACAGTGGCTGGCGTGTAGGAGGCATTTGGTTAATGTTAGTCCTGCTAAATGTAGCCCAGCGCCCTGGTTTTTTGGAAGTACTTCAATAGAAATACTGACTTAGGGGCGCCTGGGTGGCTCAGTCGGCTAACTGTCTGCCTTTGGCTCAGGTCATGATCCCAGGGTCCCGGGATCGAGCCCTGCATCAGGCTCCCTACTCAGTGGAGAGCCTGCTTCTCCCTCTCCCACTCCCCCTGCTTGTGTTCCCTCTCTCGCTGTCTCTCTGTCAAATAAATAAAATAAAAAGAAATATTGACTTAGACGTAATTCCCCACTGAGACTCAGTTCCATCTCTAACCCCATAGTGACCCATCTCCTGATAAATCTCCCTTAAAACACCCAACATAGAGTGTTTTACTTACTCAGTAATAGTAGTTATTTGCTGTATTAGTTTGCCAAGGCTGCCATAACAAAATACTATGAACTGGGTGGCTTAAACAACAGAAACTTACTTTCTAAGAGGGTCTGCAGAAACCTCTGTGGCTTCTCCTGGGTTTGCAGACGACCACCCTCTTGTGGCCTCTTCAGTGGCCATCTATCTGTACAAGCTGCCCTGGTGTCTCTGTATGTATCCTAACCTCCTCCTCTTAGAATGTCACCATTCAGAATGGATTAGGGCCTCCCTAATGACCTTATTTTAACTCACTTGCCTCTACGAAGGCCTTATCTTCAAATACAATCACATTCTGAGGTACTGGGGGTTAGGGCTTCAACATATGAATTTGAGGAGAACACAATTCAGTCCATAACACTTACTATTACTTACTTACCTACTTATGATTATAATTACTTATGATAATGGTAGCTCTTACTGTTAATATATTATTAAATCATTACCCTGGAAGATTCGTTGTCTGACTAATTAGCTGGATGTTTTAAAAAGAGAAGTGGATTTTTTAAAGAAGTGGATTAAGGTTTTTATGATGAGAGCAGTGATCTTAGTCCACAGATCAGAAGCCAAAGGGTGTGTTATATGATACTTTTTAATTTGTATATTTTGTTTATTCACAAATTCATTATTTACCAAAAACTTAATGAGTGCCTACCAGGTCCCCAGGCAGGGTGTTAGAAGGTAGCAGCGCCATCGTGAGCAAGACACGTGCCTGCCATTGGCCAGTTCACAACCTAGTATATACTTAAAATATCTGTGCCTCTGGAATGTAACAAGAAATAGTTCCCCAGAGTATTAGGTTTTAGGAAGTGTTGGTATTTGGGGCGCGTGGGTGGCTCAGTCGGTAAAGCGTCTGCCTTCAGCTCAGGTCATGATCCCAGGGTTCTGGGATCGAGCCCCGCATCGGGCTCCCTGCTCAATGGAGAGCCTGCTTCTCTCTATCCCTCTGCCTGCCGCTGTGCCTACTTGTGCTCTCTCTCTGTCAAATAAATAAAATCTTAAGAAAAAAAAAAAAGGTGTTATTAGACCTTGGAGTGCTGACTTTGTATTTTAAAAGTCAATTGATTGGGGCACCTGGGTGGCTCAGTTGGTTAAGCAACTGCCTTCGGCTCAGGTCATGATCCCGGAGTCCTGGGATCGAGTCCCACATCGGGCTCCTGGCTCAGCAGGGAGCCTGCTTCTCCCTCTGACCCTCTCCCCTCTCATGCTGTTTCTCTGTCTCTCTCTCTTTCTCTCAAATAAATAAATAAAAAATCTAAAAAAAAAAAAAGTCAATTGATTAATTTTAAAAGCATTAAAATCCTGATTCGAACCACCACCTAGGACTGTGATCGTGAGCAAATTATTTAATCCCCTCAAACCACTATTTCCTCATTTATAAAATAGAAGTAATATAAATATTATATAAGGTTAATTCATGATTAAGTGACATAATGCATGTCATAGCACCATACTTGGCACTTATGAAGAACTTAATAAAATGGTTGCTGCTGGGTCTTTTTTGTTTTTAGTTTTTTGGTTTTTTTCCAGTTCAGGAGCTAAGCCTCATCTTGGAGGTGAAATTGAGGAGATACTAAGAATAGCTTTATATGTAGGTTTCTAATAATTGGAGAGAACTTTTGCCAGAGCTTTGGAGTTTGTTATAATTTCTACCCTGCCAGTTTCCAGAAAGGATTTGAAATAATGCCTGAGAAGTGTGTTCCAATCATGAGGTAATGGAGGAAACACTGACCCAGAACTAAGATGAACTTAGCACTAGATTTAGCTCTGGAGCCAGCTAGATGATCCTGGGTAATCCCGAAGTGTAGGCTTTCCCTATCAGATTCTTTGCCTTGTTTATTAATTAGGAAATCGTTAATCTTAGATACTGGCCTTTAGGTTTCTGAGGCTTTGTGTATAATCTCCAAAGTCTCATAAGTTTGAAATTATATTCTAAAAGCAGAAATATCTAACTTGAATTTAATCTTCCTCCTGAATAATTATCACTTTCCAGAGAATAATCATTAATATAAATGACTTAATAGATAGTCCATAGTCTTTCCTTGGCTGAATTCATTTCAGAGTCCCTAATATATTGTTAACATTGCATTTATATTAATTCTTGTTTTGGTAGCAGCATTCTTATAGAAGGTACTAAAGTCATAAGTTCTAAGACCTTGACTTTCTCACATGGCTGTCATGTATTTGGAAAACATTGGGAAGGCACTGTGTCAGTCAGTTTTAACTGATAAAGACATAGTATCAGGCTTCATGAGAAATTTTTTCTTGTCATTGTTACTGCTGTTGTTCCTTTTTTTTTTCTTGGCAGAGTAGGAATACTTTTTAACTGATGGATTATTAGGGCCACTTTGGTTAATAAATGAGGATAAGATAAGGCAATAAAAGATTTTAAATAGAATGTCCTTCTAGGAAATGAGAAGGGTTAAACCCATTAAAATGTTTTCTACTTAGATGCCTTTGTCTGTATAAGTTTTTTATTATTTTATGAAAAGTTCACAAAATCTTAATCAACTATATAATTTAAATGACTGAAAAAAATAGATACTATATCTCACAGAATTACAGATCTTAATTCTCATCTGATATTTGATATTGACAAATGTTATATTTTCTAATGTTGCAGTTAGTTTTTTAAAAGCTATTGAATGGTACACTTAAAATTGTTAAAATGGTGATTTTAATGTATATTTTATCACAATTAAAAACCAAAGCAAAAGTAAAAACCAACTAAACAATAACAACAAAACAGATTTACTGAGTTATATCTTTTCAGTATCTTTTCCCCAGAGTTTTTCTGCATTTGTTACTGAAGCACCTATTTGGACACTTTGAAAATAGTGTGGGTAGTTAGTAGATTTTTAGGATTGATTACCACTGGGTTTATATATCTGTGAATTACAAATGTATGATTTATTTAACATTATTTTCATGGCAAAGATTTTTAATTGATCTTCCTTGTTTTGCAGTTACTTCGAGAGCTTAAGCATCCAAATGTCATCTCTCTTCAAAAGGTATTTCTGTCTCATGCTGATAGGAAAGTATGGCTTCTGTTTGACTACGCTGAACATGACCTCTGGGTAAGGTGAATTGCTGGTAGACATTGAGCCCTTCGTTTCAGACAGGGATTAAGAGTGACTAAAAACAATTTTAGTTTATCTTACTATGAGATTTACATTTTAAAAATAAAAGTAACCTCATAGAATCTGGTTGATGAATTACCAATACTAGGGTAATTTTGCTTTGTATTTTGATCTTACCAATTTGAACTTTGTAACATGCTACAGAAAATAGTAGAATCTGAAGAGTATAAACAGTTATTCAGTATTGTTTCCTAGCTATAGATTTTTGATAAAATTTTAAAAAGTAACTGTAATAGCTATTTTGTTATAGAATTTAAAAGCAGCATGTTTCCTTTTACTATATAAAGGAATATAAAATGAGAAAGTGGTATCCTCATATAGGAAGATAAATATGTTATATTTGGAAGACTAGACTGAAATTTATGGTTCGGTCTGTTATTTGTCATGCAAGTCTCTTAATGGCTCTGAAGTTGTAGTCCCCCCAACTCCATCTGTAAAATGTGGTACTTTCCTGCTTTTTTACAGGATTTTTCTGAAGAGCAATTTTGTATTTGAAAAGCTTTATAAACTAAGTGTACTATACAAATGTAGCATACTATTAATCATTTATTGGATATTATTCATACTTAATACTCCATATTCTAATGTATTTCTTATTTCCATCAGCAGAAGTTCAATATTGTACTTACTTGAATTGGGCATGTTCTTGTATAGGAAGAATTCTTTGTGGAAGAGAGCTCCCAATTAAATCCTTGAAGATTCTCAAAGTCAAGTAATTACAGTCAATTAGATTAGTTTTATTTGGTTAGCTAATATAATGACAAAAATGATGTTATATTGATAAAAATTATTATAAACTGAGAATTTAAATTTATCTTGGCTAAATAGCTGAATTACAAACAGCTAACTCAGTATTTTGTATTTACTCAGTAGATTGCTTGGTATTTACATAAGTCTTGGGTAACTATAAAATTTACTCTTTTATTAAACATAACAGTTATGTTCTTTGAAAGTCTGAAATGCCATCTTGGGGATAAGAGTTTATGATATATAATGAAAATAGCAAGATAGCCAAAATATCTTTGAAATATACTCACAAAACTTATATCCTGATCAATCTTGTGTAAAACATGTTAACATAGACTACAGTTTAGAAAATAAAACAAGTAAACAAAAACCCAATATTACATTGAGTTAATTAACAAGTACTTCACTTCTGTGAACTATATTTTTTCTGGTATTTAATAAGTAATTTAATAAGATCTTTAAGTATTTCACTGTGTTTTGTATACTGTTCTATATTTATACTTATATATTGGTTGTACATTTATTGAGATAAATACAAGAGAAAACATATATACAGATCTTCCTTGACTTACATGGGGTTACATCCAAATAAACCCATCACAAACTGAAAATCTCATTAAGTCAGAAATACATTTAATACACCTGACCTATCGAACATCACAGCCTAGCCTAGCCTACCCTAAATGTGCTGAGAACACTTCTATCAACCTCCAGCTGGACAAAATCACCTAACACAAAGCCTATTTTATAATAAAGTGTTAAATATCTCATGTTAGTTATTGAATACTGTACTGAAAATGAACAATGGAATGGTTGTATGAGTATGGAATCATTGTAAATGTATTGGTTGTTTACCCTTGCTGACTGGGTGCAGTACCTCCTGCTGCCCAGGGTCATGAGCAAGTGTTGTACTGCATGTCACCAACCTGGGAAAAGATCAAATTTCAAAATTCGAAGTATAGTTTCTGCTGAATGCTTGTCGCTTTTACTCCATCATAAAGCCAAAAAGTCAAGTTGAACCATTGTAAATTGGGACCGTTGATACTGCTGTGCAAGGGATTATAATCTTCTGGCTCGATTTTAGATATCTTTAAAATTTACATTTTTCATTCAGCTGTAGTTTGTAAATATAAATACAAAATTTTGAAATAAAACTAGTAGAAATTCCAGTAAAATTGCTCAAAAGTAAGTTAGCCTTCTAAAAATAGTAAAATAGTTTTAAACTCTTTTGCTAATTTCCAGTACTAGCCTCATTTACATAATTTTAACCAACAGATTTCAGAAATTGACACTTATATGGGTTTCATATACTTTCAGATTTATAAGAAATATTTTTTGCTCTGTAGATTCCTGTTTTCCATGAGTTAATGCAGTTTGATTCAAATTGTTTTTATGTTATCTGGAAAGAATTGTTTTTGAACTGAAAGTAGACGTCAAATTTTCTGTTTTATGAAACTACTGTCCAAGGTCAATGCTGGTTGTAAATATTTTTGTTGTTGTAGCTTCTGTTCTTTTAAAAATAAATCTAATCAAATCAAATTGGGATTCTGTTAATAAAAATTTGTTAAATTAGGGTGGCCAATATTGAATTGAACACTCATACTCAAGCCTAACATGAAGTCAAATTATATGACCCAAATTTATGAGAAATTTTCTAGGCTGCTTTATAAACATGATTTGTAATAAAACATGATTTGTAATAGTTGAACATAGGAGATAGTATTGTATTCAGTATAATTCCTAGCAGGCTAGTATGTGATATCTAATTTTACATGTAGGTATAATAATTATACTTTTACAAATTATGCTGCATGCAGTGTTCCCAGATGTGTATATATCGTCATCATTGGCTTTATTGTCATCTTATTAATATTCATTTAAGTCACGTAAGGACTTTTAATGTTCATTTTAATAAAAATCAAATAATTGACTTTACTCAAACCTCCTTTATCCATTTTATTTTCTTATTTTAATTGGAATATTGAAATGAATTAGCTGGGCTAAGGCGGCGGAGAGTAACAAAAACAGTCCCAGTAAAAAGAGTCATTTAAAAAAATCGCGCAGGTATTGGTGAAATTTCATGATAAGCACACCACATATTTGTTATATAGCCCTGGAATAAAAATGAAGGTAAGAGATTTCTCCAGTGTAGTTATAAAATATTGGTTAAAAAAAAAGTATTTTGTTAAACCCTAATGAAAGTATTAACTAAAGAAATGCATATGGCATCATTTATTGCACCTCCCTACATATTCTTGTATTCTTATTCTGGCAGATTTTAATTGTTAAAAATGATGTATTTCAGTCTATTTTTATTAAGCTCTAGAGAACCACTAGCTCTTATTAAGGTGAACAGACTTTATTGTCACACCATTTCTTAGGATAGGTGACAGAACATTCTAGATTATTGAATTGTAGCTCTGTTTTGTTTGACTGTTTTTAAATACTTTGGAAAAATAACTGAGAAGAAAATTAAAATAGTGTAATGCTGCTAGTAAAGTATAGATTAATCATACTACATGCATGCTGACTGATAGAGTTTACCTTCCCACCAGGTAGTCTTTGCTATATATTTTTTCTCTGGAAAGTAAAACTCCTTCACTCATTAATTACTAGTTATTCTTTATCCTTGTTCTACTTTCTATATCATAAGAAAATAGGAAGTGAAAATGTTGACCTCTAATATAAAATATGTCAATTATGTTTATTAATTTCAAGAATATGCTTAATATTCACTCAGAAATACTGCTCAAGAGTCTGTTCATGTTCACATGAGGTGCCAGGCATATACCTGTGTTTTACACACGGCAGAGTTGACTTCACCTGACTTGTAGGTGTTCTTACAGTTTAAAAGTGCTTTAATTAAAGTGAAGAAACCTGTCAAGAGAGTTTGAAACATTGGATCTTGTTTCTGTTGAGGTACATTTACTTATAAAGTGATTTTTCTATTTATAAAGTGGTATTGTGTTTTACCAGATGTCCAAAGCTTTTAATGGGTTTAAGGCTGTTTTTTTCTCATCTGAGTCTTTCATGTTTCTAAATATTTTCAATGTGAACTGGTCATTTACATGTTATTTCTTTATGCTTCTGTGTATTTTATTGAAATAATTTCCCTGTTTGCTTTTTGCTTTGTTTATAACCCATGCGTTGTAAATAGGTACCACATCTGTGCTGTGTCAGCCAACCCAGGAGTATCTCTTGAAATTTGTTTTTTTTTTTCTTTTCATTTAATAACTACAGATAAAAAAGATTCTGTTCTTGAAAATTTCCACCAGGTAAACAGGGATCAGGTATACTCTGAAAGTAATTTTTAATTATACTTTCAAAATAAAATCACATTGTTCTCTGCTTCTGTGTTGCAGTCATTTATTTTCTGAGACATGATCATATGCTTAAGAAATGAAACTTCAGCTCCAGTTATTAGGAAATTTTAAATTTATGTTATCCAGCAGAATGTAAGATGTTATTTTCAGTATCTTTGGGAATCCCTGAGTGTTTCTTTTTCTGGCACGAAAATATTATACATCAGATTATCTTTCCCTCTTTTCCTTTTTAAGCTTCTGGTGGTATTTTTGTTTCTTTCAGCATATAATCAAGTTTCACAGAGCTTCTAAAGCAAACAAGAAGCCAGTTCAGTTACCTCGGGGAATGGTGAAGTCACTATTATATCAGATCCTAGATGGGATTCACTACCTGCATGCTAACTGGGTGTTGCACAGGGATTTGGTAAGTTGATATGTAGTTAGGTCTAAGCTAGAAAGATGCCTTTATAGTTGGATGATTTTCTAGTTGTCTCTAGATATTAGTGGTACATAGTCCTGCAAACCTTATAGAGTGAGAGTGCTGTAGTCTCATAACATAGTCTAGCCTTGTGCTGTTTATATGATGCATCCTACTCCTCTGACATAAAGTGGCTGGGGTTCAGAGAAGAAGTGAAAGAGGGCACATTTATTTTCCTAAGCTTTTGTTTACTTTTAAGTCTGTAAAGAAGTATTGACTTGCTTGATTATTAACTGCTAGGCAAACTCTAGAAATTGATATATTTATGAATAACTTGGAAATGAAACTTTTGGAGCCTACCGCATACTAAGTTACGTATTAGAAGAGGTGATGTTAATTCAATCTGCTTATTTTTTAAGCCTCACTATATTAGTAGCATGTTTATTAGTCATAATTAAGAACTTTATTCAGAAGCCTTGCCATGTTAAGGTACATTGAATTTTTAAGAATTTAGAAACTTCAGAAATTGGCTTTCTTATTTTTATTTTACATGGCAGAATAATTTACGCCTTTTTAAAACCCATCTAGCATTAATATGTTCATTAAATTGTGCATTATTCATTACTCTTCATGGATGAAAATTTAAATCTCAGATTCCCCTTATTGCATAATTACATTGTGCTTTTGTTGTTCTTTTCTTTGGAAAGGTGGTAACTATAGTAAAGTTTATAACAATGCCTTCATTCCAAACAATTATAAACACAATTCTGGAACTGATGATTTGGTCTCTAATCACATGTGTTACATTGGAAAAAACCCTGTAGAATTTAAGCCAGAGCTGATCTGCCTCTTGCACATATTCTTTCCAGGCTGCTGTATATTTAGTACCTTCAGATCAGATGTTCCAGTGTCATAGTTTCTAGTTCTTTCTTCTATCTTCAATAAATCTCCTTTCAATATGTTTAATGGTATTTATTTTATCTCTAGTTCTCATACCTAGAAAGCATTTAGACCGGGACCGATAACATCAGAAATTTGTTTGAAACAACTTTTTTCCTTATGTAAACTTTATTTTTAATATTATTGGAATATTCATAGTGGATTTATAGAACAGAAGTAGGACAAATCCATTGGCTCCTTTTATGAATCTGAAAACAAATTTCAACCTTTAGGGGTGTAGTCAACTTAGGGAAAAACTATTACTACTTTTGAGCTACTGACCTTTTTTATGATCTCTAAAAGAAAATCTGGCAAAAGGGTATTTTTCCCTAATTATGCTGAGATGACACTACATTTTCTTTTTATAGTAAATTATTTTTCATCATTAAAATATATATGTTTATTAGATGAATGCAAATAATACAAACCAGTATTTAAATTGTTAATGCATAATGTACTTAAACCACTTACAGTAATATTAGCTACAGTAGTGAAAATAATTATAAAGTTTAATTTTTTTTATTTCTCTTTTGGGATAGTTCTTTCTATTGGTGCAGCCTAAATGAGTTGTCTTTGACCTAGGGATAGTGTAGGATATGTCATTTCAAAGGTCTCTGTTAGTGATGTGCCAGGAGGTGGGGGCCAGGGGGGCAGTGCACTCTAGATGCCAGTATCAGAGGGATGCACTCTCTGGAGATGATTTAAAAATAATGATGAAACAGATGAAAAGTAGTTATTTTCTGTTGTCACCATATGCTGGCAGTTGTGAATGATATCAGTTATAAAATATTCCTGTTCACAGAGCAAACCATTCTGACTCCTCTATCCCCTTTATATGCCACTGCTACTGTTTAGTAGTCAATTTATCCAAAATATTTTCCGAACTGTAATATATTATTTGTGTCCTGCTACCTTTTTGATTTCCCCGTTTGGAGTGAGAGTTCCTGTATTGTCTGTGTGTGACTCCTTACACCTAACTCTTATGAGCATCACAGGCCCACGGAACCATTGTGTCATTAAAGTGGTAACCGCTGCCCCCAGGCTGGATCTTACTGGGTCAGGTGCTTACTTCTTGTTCTCAATTTTTTAAAGGAAGATTCATTACCGCAGTTTTGTTGTTGTTGTTTTTAAATGTGCCCACCTTCCTGCTAACTAAAAAATAGATTTTGGAGTTTTGAGGTTATATGATGTTCAACTGTAGTTACATTAGAAATTCATATATGAATACTTTTTTATATATGAATTTCTAATGTAAAATAGTTACTTTAAAGAATGTTCTTCAGAAGCTGTATAACATGACTTTTTAAACTCTTTCTCAATATTTATTATTATTTGCAGATGAAATATTTACCCTATAAGAATAAATATAATTAATAGTTAATTTCATTCCTTGCTTCTTTTCAGTCAAGTTTAGATGAAATGTGGCAATATTGACCTTAGCCGACCTATATAGATTTCTAATGTTTTGAATTGAACCAATTGGTTGAGTTGCTGACTTGCCAAGAGAAACATCATACCAAAATGGATAATTGGCACAGACTCCCTAAAAACATCATTTTAATAATGCCCCAGAATGTTATTGAAGCTTTTGCTCAATAAAATTGTCTTCATTATTAATAGACACACTGGTTTGAGATGATAGAGTTACGAAGTTCTTTGTTTGATATGTGCACTTGAACTTTAACAATTAATAATCCTATTTAATAAATAAAGATTAATTTTGTCACTGTTAATCACCACATAGTAGCAGATCAGTAACTGGGGTCTGTCATCCTTGATGTGAAATAGAGATTTAATAATTCTGGAACTCTGGTTGGAATGAAGTTGGTAATAAATGCATTTGTGTGTAGCTGTTTTAAGAATGGGCCTGAAAGGAAACACATGCAATATTTATTTTTGTGAGATAATTTATGATCTAAGCCAAACTTTTTTAGTTCTAGAACATTAAAATATGTATGTATAAGTTGGTTTGCTTTTACACTTTATCTGTTTGCTGTAAGTAGAGATAAATAAAAACAAAGGTGTATGCTTTGTTCTTCCCTTTGATGACACTCCTTTCTCTTTCTTCCTTTATTCTCTCCTTGGGAAATGAATGTAGTCTGACCAACAGGCTATAGTCCTGGTTCTGGCATTACCACATGTATTAGGATTCTCCAGAGAAACAGAATGTGTGTGTGTGTGTGTGTGTGTGTGTGTGTAGAAAAAGAGAGAGAGAGATTTATTTTAAGGAGTTCCCTCAGGCAAATTGTGGAGGCTTGGGAAGTCCAAAATCTGCAGGATAGGCCAGAAGGCTGGATACTAAAGGGAAGAGTTGCAGTCAAATACAAAGGCAGTATGCTGGCAGACTTCTGTCTTGCTCCGGGGAGATCAGTCTGTGTTCTATTAAAGTCTTCAATTGATTGAATAAGGCCCACCAATGTTATGGAGGGTGAGCTGCTTTACTCAAAGTCTACCAATTTAAATGTTAATCTCATCAAAAAACAGCTTCACAGAAACATTCAGAAAAATGTTTGACCAAATATGTGGGCATCATGGCCCAGCCAAGCTGGCACACAAAATAACCATCCTATACAAATGAGTAAACAGAGGCACAGAGTTGAAACAGTATGGGACCAGTTAATTCCATTTTTACCCCCCAGTTATCTGCTTATATAAAATAGTAACAGTGTTGGGTTAAGGAATATTAAGATATTTTACCTGCTACTATAAAGAGGAACTAAGTGTGAAATCTTAACGAAAACTTTAAGTAAAAGATATTATTTAAGTGACTCAAAATAAGGAAAGGTATGAAGTCTATTAGCCTGATTGGGATGAGTTTGGTAGTTTTCTGAGCACAAAATAAAAAGACAGTAAGCACCAAAATCATATTTGATACTTTTTGTGTAGAAGCCAAAGTTTGATTTGGCAATGGTGTCTGAAGTTTTTCCTCTGAAAACAATGGTGTCTGAAGTCTTTCCTCTAAAATGGTAGTCCTGTTTGACTGAGTTAAAGCACATTGGCAAGGCCATGAGGATTTGCACTAATAGTACCTCTACTATGACCGTTTTAGGACACCCAGCCACCCGGCCAGTTCACTCTCTCGTCTGTCTGACCTCTTTCAGTAGAAACGAGTATTTTTTGTATAACTTCCTAATTTTAGGATTGGTTTTCTTGTGCAGTTGTGAAATAAATTTCCAAGTCGGGTTTTTTGGTCTTTTTTTTTTTTAAACGAGAAAAAAATCTGATTAGATTAAAATTTGAAAATCTCTGCATGCCAGTATTTGTGAATTGAAGTGAAAGCTGGTTATGATCTTTTTTTTTCTTCCTTCTCACTCTGTATACCTACTTCCAGCTAACTCAGAGGTTGCCCTACCTACTTGAATCCTTTCTTCCCTTCATCTCTAGTGTTTAAAATTCTATTCATCCTTTAAAGCTCTGCTCCTGCTACCTCAGCGATAAAGTTCCCCCCGCCCGTCACCCTAGCTGGAATTGAGAATGTGTACATCTAAAGTCCTATAGCAGCTACTTTGAACTACTCAAGGGCACTTAAGCTAGTTTTGGTAATAAGTTCTCTATTTGATTATAAATTTCTGAGGGCCAAAGACTGGCTTAATATGTATTTGTATCCCTCCCAGTGCCTTGCAAAATACACAGTGTATACAATTCTGCTTATATTTGTTGAATGAATAATCTAGCTCATTTGTAACAGAAACAAAGTGTCTTCCAAGGTGATTCTCCATAGGTTATTTCTGCTACCTGATGTTTTTCTGTGCATACTCTGTTAAATTTCTTCTTTTTACTACCTACCCTCTTAGCTCTGTTATGGTTTACTGTAGTCGAGCAGTACAAAAGATCTTCTTTTCATACTATATTTTTAGTTCTTTTCAGCAGCCTCCCTCTTTCTACCTAAAAGAACTCGGCTCTGATCAGTCAGTCCAAAGACCATTCAGCTAATGATACTGATCTGTTGATTTCTTTTATCACACTCTTCCTCTACCCAATTTTTTTTATTCCACCCAGTGAAAGAAACCTGCTTTACCTATTCATTCATGTTCTTCTCTGATGTCATTTATTTTTTTCCAATGTTT